CTCTGCTGCGCCTGGGCAGGCCGCGAGCGGGCAGACCGCGCGCGCGAGAAGGCCCGAGTCGGCGAGGTTGGATCCACGACGCCTTTGGCAGCCGGCGCTGTGGTGCTGGCCGCGGCGCCCGCGACCGATGGTCACAACGCTGGCGCTCGCGGCGGCGGCTGGTCGGAGCAAGGCAAGGGGGCTGCGATATGCGGCCGCGTCGATCGAGGCGCCGAGCTGGCCGCCATCTGCGCAGGTCCTCGACGCCGTCGCCGCCCTGTTTCGCAGCGGGGACACCTTGCAGAGGTACCTGCCTCACGCGCGCAGCATGTGTTTGTTGCGGACCACGCTTGGCGCGCGGACGCGCGGCGATTGTCCGGGGGGGCCGAGAAGATCGCCAGGGATGCGTTCCGAAGAGAGAAGATCCGTGCCGCTGCAGAAGAAACCAGACGCATCCGCAAGTGGCGCGCTGAGGCTGGTTACTCGCTACTTGCAGCATCGCGGGCGATTGCTCGCCAGTTCTGTCTCCGGAATTCCGAAGTTTAAATTTGGGAACCATCGCAGTGGCGTTTCGTTTCGCTGACGATGTGCGCAAGACGTGTCTCATCCGTTTTGCCCATCGCAAATTGTGCAGCGAGCCCTGCAAGACGACGAGGCGCTGCATTTGCCGCCGGCAGGGCCGCCTCTTCTGCGGCGTCTGTGCTCTCTGGTTTCCGCGGGGGAAGCGGGGGCGGCCCCTCTTTCATGGGCGCAGTGCGCGGGCGCACTGGCCGTGAACATATTGGCAGCGGCCGCGTTGCAGTTGCGCGGCGCGCCCGCTTGGGGCACTCGCGCCTTCGGGCGGGGTCTCGCAGACGGGGCCCTCCAGCGAGGAGGGCCCGCAGCGTTGTTTTTCAGCGACGGCTGGAAGGGCTTGGCTGCTTTTGGCTATGCCCGCGCCCATATCGGGGGGGCAATCGCAGCTGCTGGGTGGTCGGAGGATCACTCCGGTTGTGACGACGGCGAACAGGGCTGAGCTTGGCATCGCGTGCGTTGGGATGTAATAAGCGAGGAGCGGATCGCGATGTCCTGCTCCCGGGTGCTGTTGCGCAGGCCGTCGCGCCCTGGTGCATGTGGGGGTCTCGAGGCGAGGTCCAGGAGGCTCCAGCCAGGCGGCGCTTTTCCCCGCGCCCCTTGCTGGCGAGAGGGCGCCAGTTTCGAGCCACGCCTGAAGCTCCGCGAAGGGCATCCGCGGCAGGGCCCTGGACCTTCGGACGCCATTCAGAAGAGCGGGCCAAGCTACCAAAGATAACTTTCATGAAGCGTAACCCTGTGCCCCCGATAGGAATCCCCCGGGGATAATCAAGTTCGGGGGTCTGGCGGGGATGATCCGCGATTTTCCCGGCGAAGGTGATGTTATGATGATGACGATCGTGATGATGATGGTGACGATAGCGATGAAGATGATGATGATGATGATGTAACCAGACCTCGTAGATCTCGGCATAAGACTCGCCGCGCGCTCGTGATTGCGGGAGATGAAATGGTAGGACCACCATTGCCATGCTCAGCGTTTCTGATGCTGATGATGGCAACTTCGATTCGCAACTTCCCTTGGGGATCATCGCGTTCGGCGTCCGTGCCCTCTCCACAATTAAATCCCACTGACGCGGGGTGCACATGTTAGGGGGGGGGGTGAAGAGGGGTGCATTTTTATCGGGGGCGCTGGGTTAAACTTGTTTCTTGCTTTTGGCGCAGGAAAATCATGTGGTGCAGGCCCGCTGTCGCTCGCCTCATCCCCTCTCCTCCGCTCGCGCGCCTCGGCGCCTGCTTCGCGGGCGTGCGGTCCTCGGCGCGCTGGCCCGCTTGTTCTGGGGCGGCGGAAGTATGTCTCGGAGCGGCTCCTGTGTCGCCAGGTCGTGCGTCGCGCCGCTCGGCCCAGCTCGTCCGCGAATCCGCGGGGTCCCGGCGCCAGTGGCGCGGCGGCGCAAAAGCGCGCCGCGCTCCTTGACCGCGGTCTTTTGCTGGGCCTGGCCTCCTGGCCGCAGCGCTCCCCAATGGCAGCGTGGGTTCGGCCGGGCTCCCCGTGAGCAGCCGCGTGCAAGGTCCCCGCCTTCTCGCGGGCAAACCACAGGTCTCCGCCTTCTCGCGGGCGCGCCCAGAGTCCCTGCCTTCTCGCGGGCAAACTCAGGCCTTCAGAGTTTCCCACTCTGGGGTCGCTGCCTTCTCGCGGGCTCTGCCGGGCTCCCTGCGAGGACGCGTGCGAGTCGCTGCCTTCTCGCGAGCAAGCCCAGGGCCCCTGCCTTCTCGCGGGCAAACCCAAGTCTATGGGGCTCCGCTTTTGGGTCCCTGCCTTCTCGCGGGCACGCCCAGGGTTCCTGCCTTCTCGCGGGCAAACCCAGGCCTATGGGGCTTCTCTCTCCTGGGTTGCTGCCTTCTCGCGGGCAAACTCGAACCTTTCTGGCTCCCCGCTGTCGGTTCGATGCCTTCCCGCGGCGCACCCTGGGTTCCTGCCTTCTCGTTGGGTTCCCAATGTCGTTCGGCGGTGTCCGTCTTTCCCTTTTTCTTGCCCACCCGCGCCACCCTCGCGGCTCTCGCCAGCGCCTTGACCTGGCGGGGAGTCTCGGGACGAGGTCCAGCAGGCTCCAGCCAAGCAGCGCTTTTTCCAACGCCCCTTGCTGGCGAGAGGGCGCCAGTTTCGAGCCACGCCTGAAGCTCCGCGAAGGGCATCCGCGGCAGGGCCCTGGACCTTCGGACGCCATTCAGAAGAGCGGGCCAAGCTACCAAAGATGATTTTCTTGGTGCGTCTGGTGCTCGGTTGATGCCGCCTCGTTGCTGCCTCGTGCGCTGGGTGGGTGTGTCGGGTTTTCGGCTGGTGCCTGGTTGGTGCCGTCCTGTTGCCGCCTCGTGCGCTGGGTGGGTGGGTGTGTCGGGGTTTTTGGCTGGTGCCACGTTGTCGCCGCCTCGTTGCCGTCTCGTTGCCGCCTGGTGAACTGGATGGGTGCGCCTGGTGCTCGGTTGCTGCCGCCTCGTTGCCGCCTCGTGCGCTGGGTGGGTGTGTCGGGGTTTCGGCTGGTTGGTGTCGCCCTGTTGCTGCTTCGTGCGCTGGTTGGGTGTGTCGGGGTTTCGGATGGTGCCCGGTTGCTGCCGCTTCGTTTCCGCCTCGTGCGCTGGGTGGGTGTGTCGGGGTTTCGGCTGGTGCCTGGTTGGTGCCGTCCTGTTGCCGCCTCGTGCGCTGGGTGGGTGTGTCGGGGTTTCGGCTGGTGCCTGGTTCTTGCCGCCTCGTTGCCGTCTCGTTGCCGCCTGGTGAGCTCGATGAGTGCGTCCGGTGCTCGGTTGATGCCGCCTCGTTGCTGCTTCGTGCGCTGGGTGGGTGTGTCGGGGTTTCGGCTGATGCTGGGTTGGTACCGATTCGTTGCCGCCTCGTGCGCTGGGTGGGTGGGTGTGTCGGGGTTTCGGCTGGTGCCTGGCTGTTGCCGCCTCGTTGCCGTCTCGTTGCCGCCTTTGTGAGCTGGATGGGTGCGTCTGGTGCTCGGTTGATGCCGCCTCGTTGCTGCTTCGTGCGCTGGGTGGGTGTGTCGGGGTTTCAACTGATGCTGAATTGGTGCCGCCTCGTTGCCGCTTCGTGCGCTGGTTGGGTGGGTGTGTCGGGGTTTCGGCTGGTGCTCGGTTCGTGCCGCCACGTTGCTGCCCGTTGTCGCCTCGTTGCCGCCTCGCCAGCTGTGTGGGTAGGCCGAGGATTCGCCACGTTGCCGCCCGTTGCCGTGTCGTTGCCACCTCGTGCGCTATGCGAGTATGCCGAGGATTCGCCTCGTTGCCACCCAATACCGCCTGTGGGAGTATGCCGAAGATTCGCCACGTTGCTGCCCGTTGCCGCCCGTTGCGGCCTAATTGCCGCATCTTGCCCCTACACAACATGGCTTACATTCGAATAACTCACGATTTCGGGTTCACGCTTGAAGAATTTGAAATTTATGGGCGGATGGGTGGCTGGGATGGGCGCGGCGGCATTCATGTGGCTGGGGCGCAATAGCAAGCGTGGCTACGGCGCAACAGCGTGCACTAACCTTCGATTGTTGCTCGGGCTCCCGTGTCGCGTTGATAGATGCATCCCCGAGGCTGTAGAATGGCACCGCTAGCGTGGGGTGCTCTAGCGACTCCGACAGGGCGGGCTGCCCGAAGGAATGTGGCAAGGCGGGCTGTCTTGCTGGGATGCTGGCGGCCGCTCCGGGGGCAATCCTATCGTGCCCTGGCATTCGCCGATGTGGGTTTTTCAATCCGGGGGACCCCGCGCGCGCGGGGTGGGGGGGGTGCTCCGCTGCTCCATTGCTCACCCCGCCCGCGCTCCACAGGCCAAAACTTTTTTTTTGGCCTGTGGAGTTTTCTGTTTGGCCTGGCGCGTCGGGTCTTTGGCCTTGCGCGCAGTCTCGGCCTTCGGCCTTGCGCCAGCTTTCGCCCCCGATCCGTTTCTGATGGCCCTGGGGCCCAGTAGCGGGCCCCCGAGGGCCGCAAGCGAGATCTGAGGTTTGGCAATTCTAAGATCCCGTCCTCCTCCTCCTCGTCCTCCTTCGCGTCGTCCTCGTCCTTTTGGCCTTGTGCGCGATCTCGCTCGGCCTTCGGCCTTGCGCCAGCTTTCGCCCCCGATCCGCTTCTGATGGCCCTGGGGCCCAGTAGCAGGCCCTATCAGGCCCCCGAGGGCCGCAAGCGAGATCTGAGGTCTGGCAATTCTAAGATCCCGTCCTCCTCCTCCTCCTCGTCCTCCTTCGCGTCCTCCTCGTCCACGTCCTCCTCCTCCTCCTCCTCCTCCTCCTCTTCTTCCTCCTCCTCCTCCTCCTCCTCCTTTCTCCTCCCCCTCCACCTCCTCGCCGGCGCCCGATTCGGCTCCCCGGCGGCGGTTCGGAACGATCCCTTCACCCCTAAGACAGCTCTCGGCAAGGCGCAGCCGCTGGAAGGTAACCCGAGGGCGGAACAACGCCGAGAACCCACGAAGCCGCCCAAAAACCTCGGGCCGTCTGTCGCGCATCATTGGGCCGCCTTGGCACCTGCCCCTGCACTGGCTGGCCGTCCCCGCAGACGGCCACGGCCGCGGCTGGCGCTGTGTCCATGGCGACCGCCATCGCGGTCTGCGCCGAGGCTGCCTGTCGGCAGCTCCGAAAGGTGCGGTTTGCAGAGGGAGTGGTTCGCAACCCGCACCTTGGGGAGGGGAGCGAGGACCTCGACAGAGCTCTCTGCCGCGCCCCGACTAGGGCTCATCAAATTTTGTGGCGCAGGTTGTGACTCCATACTGGGGTCGGCGCAAGGGTTGCTGAGGGGCTTGGGTGGGGTTGCCAGAAGGTGCCAGGGTAGCTTGTATCTCGCGTGACCTCGCCTACAGATGCACCACACACGCCCCAAATGGCTCAGGGGTTTTGTAAAAAAAAACTCCGCTGAATGGGCGGAGCCCGCTTAGCACGGATCCTTAATCTCACCAAGCCGCTTGGGTCAGTTGTGACCCACTTATAAGTAAGGTTAGGCCAGATATAGCGCACCTTGGCACCCACTGCTAACACCCCTCTATCTTCTTAGCAGCCCCCGCGCCAATCCCAGCATCCCCGTCCCAAGTAGTTTTCGGGCCATAACTCGGGCCTCCCACGGCCGTTCGAGAGGGTCCAGGCCTTTCCAGAACGCTCTCGGCGAGGCGCAGCTGCTGGAGAGCATCCCGAGAACGTCGAACGTCGAACCTCGAAACCTCCCGAACACCTCAATTCTAGAGACCTCAGCACCCCCCGCGCCGACTGCAATAGGCCCCAACGGCGCCGACCGCAAACCACACCCAGACGTAACCACACACACACACACACTTCGAGTAGGAGATGCTGCAGAATAGGTGCGCTCCAATGTTTTTGGTGTTGTTGTTTTCTGTGGCTGTTTGTTTGTTTGATTGATTGATTGCTTGTTTGTTTGTTTGATTGTTTGTTTGTTGTTGCTGTTGGGTTCTCATTTCTAAAGCGTCATTATTCTTGATCCCCTCTCCGTGACCGCTGATTTTTCAATTGAAATGTTTCCCCTGGGGCTCGCACCGATTTTTCAACTCGAGCAAATAAGATGATACCAAACTGTGCCGCCGGCCCCTGGTTTCCAACAACAACAACGGCTCCCGCCTGATACTTCCTCAAAATTTATTCCCGAATCGCGCTCTCGCCGCGGGACGTCCTCACAATTTATGCAGCAATCGTGCTCTCGCGTGGGACTCCTCCGCAATGAATTCAGACGCCACGCCCTCGACACTCAGGAATCACGCTCTCGCGGTGGATTCCCTGACGATTGACTTGGGAATCGCGCTATCGCTCGAGACGTCCTCGTAATTCCTGCACGACGCACGCTTCAGCAACCCGCCTGCACCTCGTCCCTTTCTTCCATCCGTCCTCTCTTCCCCGGCCTGAGGGGCTACACGAAACGCACTTGGCGGGTAAGAAAGACATGTCCTTAAAGGGGGTACGATCGAAGACGAAGAGGGCGGGCATCGAGGGTTTGGGATGTACATGTTGAATGACACGCGGGCAGATAAGAGCGAACAATCTTAAACTTGTTGTTGTTGTTCTTGTTATTATTATCGTTGAATGCTCTTTTCTAGAAGTAATGGTTGTGGATCTCCGGAAACGGTTCCGCGCGCTCTCGCCTCGACGCCGGCTACATCTTCTCTGAAAACGAGGCTCCCGCTCGACCGTTGGCTTGAGCCTAAATGTGGGCGCTTGGAGGCCCAGCTACGACAACAACGGCTCCGGCTCGATTCTTCCTCACAATTTACCCGGAGACACCCTGGCCAGAGAGGCCCCAAAACTCAGGAACGGCGCTCTCGCTCGAGAATTCCTCGCAATTCAATTAAGTTGTCGGAGGCCCAGCCACGACGACAAGGGCTCCTGCTCGATTCTTCCTCACGATTCACTCCGATAGCCCCTGGCCAAGAAGGCTCTCGAACTCAAGAACGGCGCTCTCGCTCGAGACTTTCGCGTAATTCAGGCAAGTTGGTGGAAGCCCAGACACGGCGATAAGGGCTCCCGCTAGATATTTTTCCATAGGTATTCCGAGAGCCCCTGGCCAGAGAGGCCCCCGAACTCCGGAACGGCGCTCTCGCTCGAGACCTTCTTCGCCCTTCAGTCAGTGGCCGACAAGGAAAATATTCCCCCCGAAAGGGGGTGCAATCGAAGACGAAGAGGGCGGGTATCGAGGGTTGGGGTATACGGAATGCAAGACACGCGTGCCAGTAAGAGCGAACAGTCTCAAATGATCGTTGTTGTTGTGGTTGTTATTGTTGTTGCTGTTGCTGCTGCTGCTGTTGTTGTTGCTGCTGTTGCTGTTGCTGTTGCTGCTGTTGCTGTTGCTGCTGCTATTGTTGTGGCTGTTTCCTAGAACCTACGTGAAGTGCGCAGCATGCCCTGTCGACATACGGGCCGCTCTGCGAACTTCTGGTAGGCTCGACGACCCAATCCGAGCTCTGGGCACACCAATTCTGCAGTCCACCTCCTGCTCGACCTGTCGTCGCCGAGCCTGGCTGGCGTGAGGCTGCGCTCCGGCGGGCGCCTCCGGCGCCCGGGCCCCGGACGCCGGCCGCTGCGCGCCCCTGCCTGGGAGAGGAAGCAAACGCCGCGGGCAAGACTTGGTGCCCATACCCACTGCGTCTTCGAGGTTCGGGTGCCTTTCCTGCGAGGCCTCCTAGATGGGGTCCGAGTAGATGGGGTCCGAGAATCGCGCAGCATCGCCGACGTCGGCGTGGAGAACATCGGGATCCACATCGAGCCGCATCGCCGATGCATCGGCGCTGCGGCGCGATCCTTCGACCCCACCTACTCTGACCCTATCTGGGAGGCCAAAGTTACTCTGACCCTATCTGGGAAGCCTAGATTTCCCCAGAATGAAGCGAAGCACGATGACAACTTCGGGTGAGGGTACATCGGGAATCTCTGGGATCTGCCGGCTCTGGAGGATGTATCGGGCGCCGCGGCCTTCTCAGAGCGTTCCAGAACGCCCCGAGAGCGTTCCAAAACGCTCTGGAACGGATTAATCCTCGTCCTGGCGCCGTCTGGCAGAAACTCAATATGCAATGGATATGGATAAACATGATTGACCCACGAATCCGGAAAGGGATTTAGAACTGCGAGGAATGGAAACGTTTCCAAGCACCTCAAGTGGGCGATGCGCAGTAGCAATGCTGAAGAGATCGATGGTGATGATGACGCTGTGCCAGGGGCTGTGTTGTACTGCTCTGCGCTGTGCCGCGCCTCACAGTGGCGTGCCAGGGGACGCACCACTGAACGTGCCAATGGACGTGCCACTGGACATGCCAACGCGCCGCGCGATGTGCCAGGGGGACGCGCCAGGGGGACGCGCCACGCAACGTGCCCGCGGACGTGCCAGGGGACGTGCCAGGGGACGCGCCGCGCGACGTGCCCAGGGGAGGCGCCAGGGAACGTGCCAGGTATCAACGGTGATGCTACTGTTCTAGGGGCTGTGTTGTGCTTCTCTGCGCTGTGCCGCGCCGCGCAGTGACATGCCAGGGGACGCGACAGAGGACGTGCCAATGGACGTGCAAGGGGGACGCGCCACGGGACGTGCCAGCGGACGTGCCAGGGGACGTGCCAGGGGACGTGCCAGGGGACGCGTCGCGCGTCGTGCCCAGGGGAGGCGCCAGGGAACGCGCCAGGTATCAATGGTGATGCCGCTGTGCCAGGGGCTGTGTTGTGCTTCTCTGCGCTGTGCCGCGCCGCGCAATGACATGCCAGGGGGCGCGCCACGGAACGTGCCAGTGGACGTGCCGGGGGACTCGCCGCGCGATGTGCCAGGGGGACGCGCTACGGGACGCGCCAGGGGGGCGCGCCACGGATCGTGCCAGCGGACGTGCCAGGGGACGTGGCAGGGAACCCTGCGTCCGCGCGCTCCCAATACAGCGATCCATCGTAAATGACGCTGCGTCCGTGCTCCCAGGGCCGAGACCACTCGTAGATTACGCGGGAGTCGCGTTCTCAAGGCCACGGTCCCTCGAAAGTAAGGGTGCCAACACGCGGGTCCCTTTCGCCCCTGAGCGGAACAAGCGTGAGAGCACGTGGGTCCCTTTCGCGCCAGAGCGGAACAAGTGTTAAAACACGTGGCTCCAGCGCGGGACCACCATGCTAGGGACCCCGCTGGGTTGCCTGAACACGTAAAGACACATGGTTCCAGCTCGGGGCCACCATGTTAGACACTCCCCTGAGTGGCCTGGACACGTGAGAACACGTGGTGCCAGCGAGGGGCAAGGGGCAACCATCTTAGGTACCCCCTGGGTGGCCTGGACACGTGAGAACACGTGGGTCCACCTAGGGACAGCCATGTTCGATACCCCCCGGGTGACCTGGGCACGTGAAAACAAGCATTTCGCCTGAGACATCCTCTAAATTCTGGCCCCCCAAGAGGCCCCCGCTCGAGACATTCCCCAGCTCTGCAAAACCAGCGTTTCGCCTGAGAGATCCTCAACACATGCATATATGTGAAAAAAACGTTTCGCTAGGGACATCCTCAAAATTCAACTCAGCCGGCCCTCTTCGACCTCGTTATTGATGACCGAATAATTCCGCTGGCCTCCTTCAAGTCGAGCCCAGGAGGTTAACCAACTAAAAGAACCCTGGGCTGGCGCCCAGATGCTAGATCTCTACCCATGTCAAGTGCGCCTCGGTCTTTGGGCGGCCCCCTTCTCAGACAGTCCAAGACGCGGTTGATTCCCCAACCAGTGCTTGCACTGAATAGGGTCCTAGCGGATATTCCTCGATCAGTGCTTGCACTGAAGGGGTCCTAGCGGATATTGAAAGATTAGGCAACAATTCCCCGCCGATTTTCGTAGCTGGCTGGGTTCCCAAGTTCCCGGTTCCGGGTTCCTGGGTTCATGGTTCTCGGCCCATTTCGGTGGGTTCTGGGTTCCCGGGTTCCTGGATTCCCGGTCGATCTCCTTATCGATCTCTTTATCGATCCCATTCCAAACCGTCCACATATGAATGTAATTCGTGTCTGAATGTGTCATATGAATGTAATATGTGATTCGTGGGCTTTTCCTCTGGTGTCATATGGATGTAGTTCGTGCCCGCAGGAGCGGCATGCTCATAAACTTGCGGAACTCCGCGCGGATGTCGTGGCTCGGCACTGGACCCCCCCCCCCCGAGAGGCTGGCGTCTCCACACTTCCGAACCAGGCACGTCCGCCCCCGGTTTCGTGGGCTCCGGGCCCTCTCGGATCGATCCAGCTCGAAAAAAAAGGGGTAGAAAGGTGGGGTCCAGGGCCCTGGGCGTGATTTTTGGCGATGTGTCGCATTCTCGCAGACTACCTATCAGACCACTCCAAACCCAGCCCGAAGACCCCAACTTCGGGTCGGGAGGGGTGCGTGTTCCACATGTGCTTTTTCAGTGCTCCCCGACGCCCCCCCCCCACTGGGAACGGAGGGCAAGCTGGGGCCTTCGTGCTGGGTTGGGGTGGTTTGGTGGGTGGCGGCTCGCTGCGTCGGATCTCAGGGCCCCTCCCGCGCGCGGAGCGCGCCGGGGGGGCCCAGCGCGGATCCAAGGAGTATCCGCGAGGAGGAGGAGGAGGAGGAGGAGGAGGAGGAGGAGGAGGGAGGAGGAGGAGGAGGAGGAGGAGGGAGGAGGAGGAAGGAGGAGGAGGAGGAGGAGGAAGGAGGAGGAGGAGGAGGAGGAGGAGGAGGAGACCATCTTCATGCTGGCGCTTCTTCCCCGGGAGCCCGCGCCCTCTCCGCCCGCCGCGCCCGGCCCGAGGTCGCCCTCCACGTGCAGGAACACCTGCGGTGGGGAGCAGGCAGGAGCACGCGCACGGAGAGAGATAGACCATGTGCACAGAGAGCACGTGCGCCTCGCGGCCGCGGGCCCCTCCCCTCCCCCCCCCCCCCGTGAGAGGAGAGGGCCCGCCGCCCCCCCCCCCCTGGGAGGGAAGCGGCCCGCTGGCGGCCCAGGCCGCCGCAGCCATCGGCGGAAGCTTCGCCCGTGCTGGCTTTCTCCGCGGGCCTCGATGTAGCGGTTCCCCATGTACTTGCTGTCCAGGAGGCGCTGTGCGGCGGCCGCGTCGGCGCGGCTGTGCATCTGCACCACGGCCTGCCCAGACGGCCGCCCGTTGGCGCGCATGATGAGGCTGACCGGGCTGGGGCCAGCGGCGATGCGGTCGGAGGCGCCGTACTGCGCGAAAAACGCCAGCACCTCCTGCTCCTGCGGAGGCATCGGGGACACCGATGCCGCTACTCCCCAGACCTCTCCAGGGATGCATTGCGACCAGAATTTCGAGGCGAATCCAGCCGTGGCGACGAGGTCCTCCCAGGAGGCCCAGGAGGCGAAAACGAGGCAAGGTTGCGACATCGGTGCCTTTTCCCCCTCCGCTGGGTTTGGCGCGGGGGTTGCTAAGAGGATAGGGGGGTTACCAGTGAATGCCAAGGTGAGTGATATCTGGCAGAACCTGGCATACAAGTGGGCTACATCTGCCCCGAGTGGCTGAGAGGAGTTTGCGATCCGTGCTAAGTGGACTCCACCCACTTAGCGAAGCTATTCAACCCGCCTTGGCCACTTTGGGATTTTGATGTCTAACCCACTCATAAGCTGGGCCAAGCAGGTGATCGGCCACCTTGGCATCCACTGATCATCCCCCTATCCCCTTAGCGCCCCTTGCGCCGACCGGGTACCTGTTCCTCCTCCCTCGACCTCCACCTTCTGAACCTTCTACGCAGCATGTGCTGCCGCTGCGCGGCCGCGGCGACAGCCGAGACCGCCACTGCGGCCTCGACGGCGGCCGCTGCTGCGGCCGCGCTGGCGGCGGCCGCTGCTGCGCGACACCTGCCGCCCGGAAGGTGCGGAAGGTGGAGGTCGAGAGCTCTGAGCTCCGTGGAGGAAAGCGGGAGGCCTGGAGATAAGCCACCTCAGCCACCCTTATGCAGTCCCCCATCCCCTGAGATCCGACGTAGCGAAAAAATGCAACATCGGAATACATCACGCCCAGAGCCCTAGACCCCATCTTCCTGCGTCATTGTTCGAGCCGGATAGATCTGTGAAGGCCACGGGCCCGAAAACAAGCGGAAACGCCCGGCTCGGAAAAATTGAAACGCCAGGATCTAAGGGGACCCCCCAGTGATCCCGCCCTATCCCCTTAGCACCCCCCGCCCCGACCCCAGCAGCGGAACTGGTACCACGAGGATGAGGATGAGGAGGAGGAGGAGGAGGAGGAGGAGGAGGAGGAGGAGGAGGAGGAGGAGGAGGAGGAGCAGAAGGAGGAGGACGAGGAGGAGGAGGAGGAGGGAGGAGGAGGGCGGACGAGGAGGAGGAGGAGGGAGGAGGAGGGAGGAGGAGGAGCCCCATGCGCCCCCAGAGCTCCGTGGAGGAGAACGGCAGGCCTCGCAGCCTCACGGCCGACCCGAGCGCGGCCTCGCCGTCCGGGCTGGCCTGGCCGGGCCAGATCCTGCACTCCGCGCGCCCTTCGCCCGCGGCGCCCGCCTCGGGGCCCGCCTCGGCGGCTGCGGCTCCGCCCGCCTGCGGGGCGGCCTCGGGCACCACCGCGCCCCACGGGGCCTGCGCCGTGGGCACGAAGCCCGGCAGGAAGGGCGGCGTCGGCATCGGCCACGCCGGGGCTGGGGCCCAGGGCGCGGCCATGGCCGAGGCCATGGCCGAGGCCATGGCCGCGAAGGCGGCGCCGTCGGAGAAGCCGCCCAGGAAGCCGTCCGCGCCGGCCGTCCCCGTGGCCGCGGCGCTGGGCAGGGTCATGCCCGGCAGGGGCGGCGGCATCGCCGGAGCACCCGGCCAGGGCGGCACCGCGCTCTGCGGCTGCCACTGCGTGCTGTCCTGGTACGGCGACGGGTACCTGGCAGGGCTCGAGCTGAAGCATGTTTTTCGTTCTCGTTTTGTTTTCGCTCTTCCTTCACTCTGTCCTCGCTCTGTCTTCGCTGCGGGACGAAGGCAAAACGAAAGCGGTCCACGAAAAGTCGCCCAAACACCGTTTAGCTCGAGCCCTGCTACCTGGGGCGGGTGGGTGGGACAGCCACCCTCGCAGAGGCCTCGGAGGTCTGCGGACGGCACGCTCCACAGGTCGCTGAGGCCTCCAATCCCCCAGATCTCCGCCTCCACGTTCTTTTCAATCTGGGCCTTCTTCCTGGATTGCGGCCTCTCTGGGGCCAGTTGTCCGGCCCCGGGATTCTCAAAAAGCGGCCCAGGGCGAAAACTACGCCCAGGGAAAGGGTCGGGACCTCTTGGGGCCGCGGGTGAACAAAATCAGATCGGCGGATGTCCGAGCCCCAATCGACACACTCCCCAGGACCCGCTTTTCATCTTGAGCCATTCTTTTGATTGTCCTGGGGCCTGGCGAGGGACCCTAGAGGCCGAACATAATGAAAAACCTCCGTCTTTTGGTGGCGCTCACAAAGGGCTAGGGGTAGGGGGGAGGCTTCTCAGAAGGAGGCTGCCTGCCCTACCTCTACATATAAGGCCCGCGCTGTCTAAGAAGCAGGGGTGCTTCTCAGAAGTCTCCCCCCTTCCCCTACGGCCCTCTGCGCGTGGTCGCGTCGTTTTTTTTGTTTGTTTATCTGTTTAATTTTTTTGGTTGTTTAAAATGCGTTGGGTCTCTGGGGTCCCCGCCCCTCCCTGGCTCGCGACGCGCGCTAAAGTCGGCGCGCAACTGCGGGGGTTTGCGGGAAGGTCCCGAGCACTCTGCCGAGCCGGGGGCGCCCGAAGACCAGGTGCTCTTTCTCGCAGTGCTCTTCGAAGGGGCCCCCGATTCGGTCGAGGAGGAAGGTGCGAATCGCCCCGCCGACTGGTGCTCTTTCTCGCAGTGCTCTTCGAAGGGGCCCCCGATTCTGGCGAGGAGGAAGGTGCGACTCGCCCCGAAGAAGACTGGGTGCTCTTTCTCGCAGTACTCTTCGAAGGGGGCCCCCGATCCGGGCGAGGAGGCAGGTGCGAATCGCCCCGAAGACTGGGTGCTCTTTCACGCAGTGCTCTTCGAGGGTGCCCCCGATTCGGGCGAGGAGGAGAAGGTGCGAACCGCCCCGAAGACTAGTTGCTCTTTCTCGCAGTGCTCTTTGAGGGGGCCCCCGATTCGGGCGAGGAGGAGAAGGTGCGAACCGCCCCGAAGACTGGGTGCTCTTTCTCGCGGTGCTCTGCGGGGGGGCTCCCGATGCGGGCGAGGAGGAAGGTGCGACCCGCCCCGCGTCGCCTGCGCCGTGGGCCGGGGGATATCGAGCAGCATGCCCAAGCGCGGCCCAAGCACGCCCTACGCCCCCCGAGGTGGACGACCAGGGAGAGCACCAGCAGGAGGGGGTAGAGGAGGGAGCACATCGGGGCAGCACCCCCAGGGGGGGACACCAACGAACAGAAACCCCAGGACTCCTTCTATGTTTCCGCTTCCTGGACTTTCCTCTTCCTCTGTCTCTTTTTTTGTTTTTCTCTCTCTCTCTCTCTCTTTTTTGTTTTTTTGTTTTCTCTCTCTCTCTCTCTCTTTATCTCTCTCTCTCTTTCTCCCCCCTCTCTCCATTCCACATTTCCCCCATGAAGCTATGGCAGGTCAGCGTTGTTGTTGCTGCTGCTGCTGCTGTTGTTGTTGTTGTTGTTGTTGTTGTTGTTGTTGTTGTTGTTGTTGTTGTTGTTGTTGTTGTTGTTGTTGTTGTTGTTGTTGTTGTTGTTGTTGTTGTTGTTGTTGTTGTTTTTGTTCTTGTTATTGTTGTTATTGTTATTGTTGCTTTTGTTCTTGTGGTGTTTGTGCAGACGTTTGTTTTTCCCTTCTGATCCTCGCCCCCCCCCCCCCCCGCGTGCCTGCTCGGGGTCTCGTGGGGGAAGCCGAGGCTGCTCGGGGTCGGCGGCACCAGGGCGGACTTCGGAGTGGGCTGCGCCGCCTGGCGCGGGGCGGAGGCGGGAAGAAGAAGACCACCTCCGAGGTGGGGCATCGCGGGGCTCGAGCTAGAGGGTTCTTTTCGCTTTCGTTTTGCCTTCTTCCCTCGCTCCGTCTTCGTCCTGCCTTTGTTTTGCTACACGAAATCGGAACGACACCAGGCCCACGAAACCGCCCAAACACCGTTTGGCTCGAGCCCTGGGGGATCGACGCAAGACGAAGCCAGGGCGAGGATGTTTTTTGCCATCGACGTGATGAAGCCCGACGAACATCCATCGGATCCGATCTCCTCCTCCGCAAACGGAACAGCCTCCGCAAGGAGACGGTCCCAGACCGCCTGAATCGCAGGCGTGCTCGCGGAGGCGGAGGAAGAAGAAGGGGCAGCGGGACAAGGGGCCTGAAGTGCACAAAGTGCACCAGCCACACTGGGGGCTGCGGTGGAAACCCCAGAAGAGCCCGCCTCACGAGAGGACGAGCCAACGCGCGCACAAGATGCGGTTGAAAAAACCGTGTCAGGATAAATCGAAAATCTCTCAAATCCGGCCGTTCTGGAGGATGTCTCGGGCGCCGCGGCTTTCTCAGAGCGTTGAGGGCGTTCCGGGGCGTGCTGGAACGAATCTGTTCTCGTCCTAGCTCCGCGCGAAAGAAAACCACCTTCGAGTAGGGAGTCGACTACAGGATGGATTCACCCCGAACTTGATGTGTTCGCCGAATCTACGAAACTTGCGTATCGTGCTTGTAGTTCTACGACCACTACACGCCGTTGTTGGAGCAGTCGACGAGAAAATCATCTTTGGGCAAATCGAACTTGTAGTCGATCCCCTGCTCGAGACCTTCGGCCAGGGGCAGCTCAGTAACCGGGGAGGGCGAGCCGCTGGATGGCCCCAGGGGGGGGGGATCCCCCCCCCCTTTCCCCGATCCGTCGTCGGGGAACCCCCCCCTCCCCCTCCCCCCCTTTCCCGTCCGTCGTCGGGGAACCCGCCCCTCCTTTCGCCACGGTGCCCCCTGGCGCCGGAACCCGACCCCTACCACCCCTAACACTACCACCCCGACCACCCGTAACCCCAACCCCAAACCCTACTCCTAGCCCCAAACAGTACTCAGTACTCATTAGTCACTACTCACCACCCACTATTCACTACTCGCTACTCACTCGGAGCTTGCATCCTACAGCATCGCGCTGGTCAAAGAGTGGCGAGGGGCACATGGAAGCTGTTGCAGTGCCTCTCTCTCCACCGCAACACTCTCGGGTGGGGCTGAACATAACTGCGCGACGTGCTGCGCCACGGGCTGGTGTATAGAGCGTTTCATAAGAGACTGAAGGGGGGCGTCCCAGGAAATCACGCCACCCCGAATCCCAAGGATAACGCCAAGGTAAAGACCGACACGGCCGACTTTTGCCTGAGCAACCTTCAGTTTTGCTTCCCGACAGTCCTGGCGGAATATGTTCTCCGCAGTATCTGTAGCTAATGCATGCTGGCATTTGTCGGAGTGCAAAAAAAGTCCAGCACCTCGTGCAAGCTGAATAAGATGTCCCGACATAACTGCATGCGCCCTGGCCAGGTTGAATGCTGCTAGACCAATGTCGTCGGCATGCGCACGCGGGTGAGCGCGGACAGGCAGGATATCGTGCTTAACCCATCTGAACCAGGGGTCCAACGCGAGCCCGAAGAGGAGGCCAGAGAGGGGGCACCATTGTTGAATGCCGCGTGAAAGCTGAAATTTACCAAACACAGTACCTTTGAAACGAACATGCAGGGAAATATTGGCATACATGTTGACCACAATAGTGCGATACCATGCAGGGATGTCCATGTGTTCAAGAACATAGAACATCCAATCAGGTACAATGCTAGGAAACGCATGGCGTATGTCGTACAACGCCATGCCATCACTGGGGGCGGCTTCGCATGCAGCATACTGGGTGAATCTGCCATCCGATGCAAGTACATTGTCCACGGGAGAACGGCCACCAACGAAGCCCCGTTGGTCTGGGCCAATCGTTCTACGAGCAACCTGGCCAAGCGGTTGTGCAAGAGCACTGCAGATGAGTCTGCAATCGCAGTGGCCGAGAACGAGCGGCCGAGTATCAGCAGCTGACTTGCGCGGGTCGGCCTCCAGCGCGCCCTTGGGAAGAAAGGCGCGGAAGGCGTCGTTGTATTATGGCGGGATCTTGCCAGTCGTAATGATGAAGGTAATGCTGATGCAATGCTACCCTAGCTGTGGCACCTCCGAACCTCCAACTAGAATGAGGGGTGCCATCTCATCCAGGACTCTAATCACGAGAGCGGTTAAGTAGGTCATTGAATATTTCGGGGTCCAAAGTCCAAGAAAGGTCCTGGGGGGCTTTTTGGATCCATGGGAGGAAACGCTCCATGTCCTGACGGGAGGGGCGAGAAGGAAGGGCAACCTTTAGCTCAGCGGTCCTGAAGGAGAGCAGCGCACTTGCTGGGGTCCGTGTGGGGGGCGCCCGCAGTATCGACAATGCCCTGGAGAACCACTCGCTTATGGCGGGGGGCCCAAGCGCGCGAAAGTCTTTCAAATTTGGCAAGCCCTGAAGTCCTCGCTTGAGCAGATGCAGCACTATCACGAACGAGTTCCACTCATTCTCCTTCTAATTCGAGATGGCTGAGGGTAGCCAGGAACTGGTGAAAGCGGTCGGTGTCGACCAGGTTGGCGCTTTCATCTGCAAGTTCCAATAGACGAGAAAATCTACGGATCGCATGTTTCATCTCCGTTGTGTCCCCGCCTGCGACGAGCCGTTCTACTGTGTGGCAGATGCGCCGCGAAGTGGACGCGCGCGTACTCATGCGTATCTCATGTGCAACCACATGCATAATGGACTTCGCTCCCTGCGCTGCTGAGGCAGGATCCTCGGACAGGCCGTGCTCTTCAATGGCAGCTTCAACCTTCGTGCCAAAGTCAGGTGGCCGACAGAGCCAGCGCGGCGGCACAGGTACAACATTAAGCTTAAGAGCGGAGAGGCAAACATAGACAGGTACCTGATCACTGATGTCTCTCATTTCAGCTGGCTGCCACTCCACTCCTGCAGCCGGTGCGCAATCGAGTATGACTGGTGGCGGCAGACTGCAATGCATGCGGTCCAGTCTCGATGTGCTGAGCAAGCTACCTGCGCGCTGAGTGGCATGTGTGGTGTGTTTCTGCGCGAGTTCAGTCTGACGATGCAATAGCCTGCCAATTTCTGTTGTCAGCGAGCCGCTCGGGGTGCGATCGAAACTAGGGTATATATGCTGCCGAGCTTCGCCTAGCGCACAGAAGTCCCAATCTCCTCCGACGATGACTGTCCAATGGGCTGGGTCAAGCCCTTGAGATACAGTAGCCAAAAAATCATTCTTACCTATGATGCCGTCGTTCGGGTTGAGATGAGATGAGCAGAGGATAAGGGGGCCGTGGCGACCTGTCATTTCATATGTAATAGAGCGACCTTGTATTATTTCCACTGTGATGAAGGAGCCGAAGTGCATATGTAATCGTTCATGGACACAGACAAGAACGCCACCACTGATGCCATCTGGGCAGAACGAACCAACGCAACGATGGTGGGGGAGGAGACGAGAGGGGGCACTGAGATCCCCTGAGTGCCCGTGTGCTTCCTGGATTAAAACAGAACCGAATTTCTCAACAAGACGCAAACCTGTGCTGAATGTTTTCGCTTGCAGCGCATGAGCCCCGCTCACTGCGCCAAACAGTTTGGCGGCATTCCACGTGCGGACAGATGGGCGACTGAGGGGCAAGAAGAGAGGCAAAGGCAGCGAAGCGGCAGGAGGCGGAGGGCTCAGGTCATCATGCCGTCCATCCCGTTCGGTCATCTGTCAGGCCACGTTCATCACTTGTAGTGCAGGTTGGATCCTCTCGGACGTGAGGCCCCAGTACTCTAAGTCTTCCTTGACCATCTCCGCATTGCCCGAACCATCGACTTTGATCACGTCGAATACGTCGGCCTTGGTTGTGATAGACATTGAGTTGGAAAAGCCTGAGCAACCAAATTTGCATTCACTTGTCCATTTGTCACCTTGCTTCAGTAAGTGCAATATCGGGTTCCATGCCATCCCAAGGTGGCGCTGTCGCATACGAACTTCATGAGGTAGATCTCCGCGGCATCGGAGTTGTGTGACTTTCTGTGGATGATTGGGAGGCTTCCTCGGGTCTTCCCACGTGACACCAGCCATGCCGAACCATGTTGCGAAGTCCTTTGCCCGCTGCTCGTTGGACCAAGTCACTGAGCAATTTTGAGAGGAACGAGGAACATGTGGTGCAGCGGCGTCAGCAGGAAAATGAGCTGGAAAACGAACAACCATACTTTCCCACGTAGCACGTCTCGTGATGTCTAAAACCTTCCTCGGGTATGTGCCGATCCATCGTCGGCAAGGGTCAGCAGAAGTGACAAGTTCTGGCGGATGAGAGCTGCTTGATCCCGTCCATGAGCCAGACCCCGACAGTGACGAGACAGCTCCGCGACGCCTCTTCACACCAATACTTCCCCAAGTGCTGGAACCGTCCTACGAATTCATGTCATCCTTCAGGGAGTTGACTGCCTTCACGCATTCCGAATATTTTGATTCGAACTTCCGTTCTATCTCCGTCAACTGTTTGTTCACTTGTGCCATCTGAGGCTCCAGCTGGATGAGGCGGGCAACGATGAGGTCAGTCGCCCTGATGCTATCGTTGATTTTCGCCATGTCTTGTGTCTGCTGAGCTTGCATCGCCTGCAGCACGGCCATGATCTCCTTGCTCTCTGCACCCATGGCTGCAGCTGGTTGGAGCGGGCACGAGAACTGCTCACCCGCGGGCGCAGGAGGCAGGCGGTCAGTGGGGCGGACCACTGAGCGCGAAAAGGACGTCGAGCGCAAGCGCTCAGGCACTGCCGCGGAATAGCGGTATCCGTGTGCGCCAATGCGGGCTCAGCCCGCCAAGGCATCAGCCTTGAGCCAAAATGGCTACTGAGGAGGAGGAGGAGGTGGAGGAGGAGGAGGAGGAGGAGGAGGAGGAGGAGGAGGAGGAGGAGGAGGAGTGAGGAGGGAGGAGGAGGAGGAGGCTGCGGTGACTGTCGCGGGCCGCGGCGGCGGCGGCGGCACTGGCGGCGAATTCGCGCATCTGCGCGCATCGCGCCCAAGCGATGCGCGGCCGTCCTCGCGGCGCCGTCGCCTCGAGGCGGGCAACTCTTCGGCCCGGGCTCTCGGCGGTGCGAGGCGCGGCCACCTCCGCGCCCCCCCCCGCGGGTGTGCCTCGGCAGCGGCCCGCGGGCAGCGGGCTCCCGAGGGGAACGGGCCCCGGACCGAACGGGCGAGGACCGAACGGGCGAGGACCGAACGGTCGAGGGCCGAACGGTCGAGGACCGAGGATCGAAGGGTCTCGGGGTCGAGGGCCGAGGGTTCGAGGGGTCTCGAGGGCAGAGGGGCGAGGGCCGAGGTGCGGGGGTCGCGGATGGCCGAGGATCGGAGGTTCAGGTGGTGATCGAGGGTCGGCGGTCGAGGGCGGAGGACGAGGACAGGGCTGGACCGAGACGTTGCTTTTTCGTTCTGTTGTCGTGATGGTCTTCGTGTTTTGCTCTACCTGTTCTCCTGAACCTCCCTGCCAACACGAAGAGCAAAACACAGCCGAAGTCCAGCAAAACAGCGTTTGGGTCCGGCCCCGAAAGAGGGCGATCCCCCGGCCCAAGACGAGCCTCCCATCCCGAAACGTACCGTGGACGGCCATAGGGGCCCGGGCGGGGGGCCCGCGGGAGCCCGGCAGCAGCGAGAGGAACTTCAGGGCCCGCCTCTTGCAGGACATCTTTCGCTTCGAGTCGTGTCGTCCTTCGGCCTGAAGTCTGCCAAGACTACGGCAGGTTCGTGCCGTGGCGACCTTGAACGATCGGCGGCTTGCCGATCGCCCGATCGTTCCATGTAGGCCGATTCTGGGCCACTGGCGACGCTCAACCTGGAACGCCCGCGGCGGGGTCGCCGCCGGTCGACACGACGCGAACCTACCGTAGCCGGACACATCGCTGTGGGTGCTCATCATGCGTGCTCCAAGCGCTCAACCAGCCTACGCACTACTGTCGTGCATTCCGCTGATGCTGCTGCCTCTTCGGAGAAGGAATCTGTCCAGGTCTCGAGAAGTGTGCCTCCCATGGCAAGCTGATGCCTATCATCATCTATCACCACTGCCAAAAACTACTTCTATGATCCATTGCCAAACGACATCTTTTCCCTCATGGCTATCCTTAAGTCGGGCCTGTCCTCATACAGGGGGATTTTGGATGAGAAACTAGAAATACCCAACACATATTCCCCAAATGACATTTTTTTGATCATTTTTCAATTTTCCCCCTGTAGAGGGACAGGCCCGACTTAAGGCTATCCCCGGCTTGGCGGCTGCAAAGGTCGGCCCCTGGGCCAGTGCTGGAAGGTCGCTCCGACCAGAGTCCCGATGGGGAAGCCAGCCGCGGCGACGAGGACGCTCCAGGAGGCTGAAGAAAGGGCAGAGAGGTAACACAAATATGCTCGAGGGGTCAAGGCACACACTCACAGAAATAAACACAAATCCCAACATTTACCATCGTTGCCAATCTTTTCTGGGTTCTCGTCGCCCCCCACTTCCCATATTTTCCCATGTTCTCCTGGGAATCGGCGATTCATGGTGTCTGTGTATTTTTCCCCCTCCTGAATGTCATCGGTCGATCTTCTTTGTTCAATCCGCGGCCCCAGAGGTAGTTTTCCGCCCCAGGTCCATTTTTGATGGCCCCGGGGCTCGACAACGGGCGCCAGTGGCCGAAATCGAAGAAAGACGCGAATGAATCAATCAGAATGGCCCAACTTAGCTTATAAGTGGCTCTCAAGTGCTCGAGAAGGGGGGGTTCAAGATTCGGGCTAAGTGGGCTCGGTCCACCTAGGGGACTCACCTAACCCCCCTAAGTCACTCGGGGCATTGGTAACCCACTTACAAGCTAGGGCAGGCCAGATACAACTCACCACCTTGGCATCCACTGCTGATCCCCCTACTGTGAGGGCATTGGATAAGGAACCATTGAATCAGGAATCCCAGGTCTGGATGCCTGTGGAACTCCAATCGTGGATTGGCCATGGGTATCACTGCCATTCTCATCAGACAAGGAATCCTACAGGGTCTGAAGCCTCCCAAGCACATTCCGTAACCAATGCCCACACACACCCTATCGGCTACACGCAAGAGTGACCCTAGGCAAGCATGACCTTTGGTGCGCGGCTTAACGGCGGACGCGGGGTGGCCAAACCCGAGTGCGCAAGCCGCTGCTGCCGCTTCGCGTTCAGCGATCGGGGGGGCCCCTCTGGGCCCGCGACAAGGGCCACTCCGGCGAAATGTCACTCTGACGTCTGGTCGACCCCATACACTTCGCAGCCCCCGCGCCCATCCTAGCGTCTCAGGAAGGAGGAGGAGGAGGAGGAGGAGGAGGAGGAGGAGGAGGAGGAGGAGGAGGAGGAGGAGGAGGAGGAGGAGGAGGGAGGAGGAGGAGGAGGAGGAGGAGGAGGAGGAGGAGGAGGGAGGAGGAGGAGGAGGAGGAGAGGAGGAGGAGGGAGGAGGAGGGAGGAGGAGGAGGAGAGGAGGAGGAGGAGGAGGAGGAGGAGGAGGAGGAGGAGGAGGAGGAGGAGGAGGAGGAGGAGGAGGAGGAGGAGGAGGAGGAGGAGGAGGAGGAGGAGGAGGAGGATGTGAGATACCAGGGTCTCCGCGCGGCGAGCCGCCCCCGCGCCCCCCGGGCGGCGCCTGGAATCGGCTGGCCGGCTTCGGCGGCGGGCTCCCCGGCGGCGGTGGGCTGCAGGGCGGCGCGGGCTCCCACGGCAGCTCCGCGGTGGTCGGGGCCGGCGGCGGCGGGGCCGGGGAGAACGACAGCACCTCGCACGACGACAACGGCCCGATGCCGATGCCGACGGCGACGGCGTCGGCGACGGCGGCGGCGGCGGTGGCCGCGCCGGCGGCGGCAGTCACGACGACCACGGCAGCGGCGGCGGTGGCGGCGTCAACTACGACGATGCCGACGCCGACGTTCACCACGACGGCCACGGCGCCGATGCTGACGCCCAGGGCGGGAGGGGCCGGGTGAGGTGGGGCCGGGGAGAACAGCAGCTCCGCGCTCGACCGAGGCTCGGGGCTTCGGGGTCTGAGCTCTTGGGCGTTTGCCGCTCTCTTGGGAACTCCTGGCGCGTCCTCGTCGCCACGGCCAGATTCCCCTCGGGGCTCTGGTCGGAGCGGAGGTCCAAGGTTCGAGGCTTGAGCTTCGAGGCCCAAGCGTCCCAGACAAACGACGATGTGATCTTGCCAGTCCAAGCGGCTTCCCTCGATGTCGGCCCCTGGGGCCATTTGTCGGGCTGCCGGGCTGTCAATCTGAGGCGACCAGCTGGCCCTGGGGAAAGGGTCGGGACCTCCGGGGCCGCGCATCCAAAAACACATCGGAGGATGTCAGGGGACCATGGCGTCGATACCGACGCCGGCGGCGGCGACGTCGGCGGCGGCGCCGGCGGCGCCGGCTGCGACAGCGACGACGGCAACGACGATGGCGGCGGCGACGGCGTCAGCAACGCCGACGCCGCTACCGCCGCCGCCGACGACGCCGGCGACGGCGGCTGCGCCGGCGCCGACACCGCCGCCGTCGCCGACGACCCCCGACGGCCTCTGGAGTTCCTCCTCGGAGGCCCCTGGATCGCCACTGGGGGGGGCAGAAACAGCCAGAAGCCTCGACCTGTGCACGACGATGACGCCGACGCCACCACCAACGCCGACGACGGCCCCGACTGCCCTCAGAGATCCCAGGAGTCGCTTGGAGGTCCATAGACGCCTCCCAAGGCTTCTGGAAGTAGAGAGAGAGAGAGAGAGAGGTCCAGAAACATCGGGACCATCGATGCTCGATCTTCGCACCTCAAGGCGACGGCGGCAATGGCGGCGGCGACGACGACGACGACCCCAATGGCCCCTGGAAGTCTCCAGAGGTCCCCGTGGAGGTCATCGGAGATTCCTGGAATCCCTTGAGGCCTCTGGATGCCTCCGCAGGCAAAAACATTGGACGAGAACTTCCGAAAACCTTGATCCTCGATCCTCGCACGACGACGACAAGGCCGACGCCCGACGGCGAGAACCCCGACGGTCCCTGGATGTCCTCAGAGGTCCTCGAAAGTCCCTGGAGTCCCCAGAGGCCTCCAGAGGCCCAAGAAGGGCGGCCGGAAACGTCATCGATCCTCGAGCCTCAGCCCTCGCTCAGACATTCGTTCCAAGCAGGTCTTCGGGGGGTCCATCATAGCATTTCGTCCCAACCCTTCCGTGCGGTCTTCGCATTGTGAATAGAACGCTGCTGCTCACTCCTCCTCCTCCTCCTCCTCCTTCTCCTCCTCTTCCTCTTCCTTCTCGTCTCCTCCTCCCGCCTCCTCCCCTCCTCCTGTCCCCCTCCTGCTTCCTGCCTCGTCTCCTCCTGCCACCTACCCTTTTGCCTGTCTCCTACCGTGCCTCCTGCCTCTCGCCTGCCTCCTTCCTGCCTCTTGCGCAACTGGGGCCACTTTCGTAAGCTCCCAGGCGGTCCAGCCGAGTGCGGGGACACGCATATTCAAATGCTTTTTCCCCTCCCGAGTGTCCTACCAATGGCGCCACTGCCGCCACTTTCCTGTGCCTCTGAGAAGCCCAACGGAATGCAGTCTTATCCGGATCCGAGCTAATACTCGTCTCCCTGTACTGCCACCCGCGCACCTGACGACGTCTTCCCGAGCACGTGGGAGCGCCAACGGAGTGTGGTCCTACGGGGACCGAAACAGGAACTCGACCTCACTGGTTGCTACCAGCCGCGCGAGCCCCTTTGCCCCGTACACAGCCTGCACGAAGGACCGCGCTCCTGGTCGTGCCATCATGTGTTCAGGATGGGCTCATTGCAGTTGGCTGTTCGTGCGGATCGGTTGGGTACGCCCCTGGATCGTGCCTTTTTCGCCACGCGGGCTGACAACCAAGTCGCATCTGCCCGCATGCCACGCGGACGTGGGGGGCTTTGCACCACGTCGCGCAGGCACTGGGCGAATCGGCAGCCAGCCGCGGTGCGTTCCGCCCCCAGGTAGGGCCTCAGCATTGTCGTATTCGGCCTCGCGGGGCCCGCTCTTTAAGAGCGGGCTCTTGCAAAACGTGTGCAGAACTGGTGTCGTTAATGGCTTTCCTACAAGCTACTTCGGCAAGGCGAGAGGCTTCCCGCTCGGATGCATCACCGCACGCTTCTGACCTCCGTGGTCTCGCTCTCCGGGCAGGCGAGGTTCTTGTGCTCGCAGCACCAGATCCTCTTCGCCGGGGCCCACTCGTGCTGCCAGTCGAAGAACCCATCCATGCAGTCGTGGTCGCTCTTCTTCTTCGCCGCCCCGCCCGCCGCGGCGGGGGCGTCGCCGTCGCAGCCCGTGCCCATGCCCTTGTTCTCGCAGCACCACCTGTTCTTCTCGGGCGACCACTCGTCCTCGGGCTCCGCCTCGCAGTCGTACTCGTCGGCGGGCGGCCCCGGGGGCAGCTCGGGAGTGCCGCCCGCCGGCGCGGCAGCGCCCGCCGTGCCGCGGGCGGCCGCCGCGGCGGCCACTGCGGCCTCGTCCGGCACTGCCGCCGCGGCTACTGCGGCCTCGTCCGGCAGCCCCGCGACTGGCGCGGCGCCGCCGGGCTGCGGCAGCGGCAGCGTCAGCGGCTGGACCCCGGCCCCCGCGGGCGGCAGAGGCGGCGGCTGCGTCAGCGGCGCGGTGGCGGGGTCCCTGCAGCCAGTGGCCGCCAGTGGGCAGGAGGAGCAGCCTCAGAGGAACAAAAAAGTAGCGACATATCGCCGCCCACCCCTCGCGGCCACGGTTGGAGTCGCCGCGAGATCGTGATCAGAGCGCACCCCTGGTAGAGGTCTGGGGGGGCGGCGGTATATCTGATATCGGCATCTTTTTGCTTCCCCCGCAACCTGGGCAAGTCTCCAGCACCTGGTCGCGCGCCTCCGCGCACGCGTGCGGCGATCCCGCAACCCTGTGCGTCGACGTGTACAGAATGCGGTCCTGGCAGGAGTACGCCTTCGAGTTGAGGACGCACATCTCGCGGCAGCCTGCTGCAGTAGCCACCGGGGCAGCCGGGGCGCCAGGCAGACCAGCGGGCAGCGACTGGTTGTCGAGTGCCGCATGCCCCGTGGGCTCTGGCTGCGTCGGAGGCGGCGGCGGCGGTGGGGGCGGCGGCGGCGGTGGGGGCGGCGGCGGCGGTGGATGCGTCAGGGGCGGTGGCGGCGGCGCTGCTGGCAGCGCTGGCTTCGAGGGCCACTGCGACGGCGGCGGTGGCGGATTCGTCACGTTCACTGGCGCAGCGGGAGGCGGGGATGCAGTACCAACCTCAGTTCCATCACTTGGCGCGCGCTGCGGCTCCACCACAGGTTTGTCGTGGGACAGAGCCATGTCTGGGCAACCCTTGTCTTCCTGCGTGCAGCACCATATTCGCCTCTCCTTCTCCCAGGACGTGAAATCGGTGCCCCCGCAGTCCCAGGCGTCCTGTGCCCCGGACTCGTTCTGCTGATCCGCCGCCTCGCAGCCCTTCTGCTCCTCCTCGCAGCAGAACTTTTTCTTCCCCTCGGACCACCCCGCCGCCCAGTTGGAGTAACCCGCCTCGCAGTCGAAGGGCGCGCTGCTTGCCTCTGAGACCGCCTCCTGGTCCTCCACCGCATTGCTTGTGGCTGCCGCAGTCGTGGAAGACTCCTCGCAGCCCTTCCCGTGCTCCTTGCAGCACCAGGCCTTCTGCTCCGGGGCCCATGCCTTCTTCCAGTGGTGGTACCCCGCCAGGCAGTCGTACTTCTCCTCCGACGCTGCGGGCCCCGGCGCCTGGCAGCCGCGCCTCTTGTTGGTGCAGCACCAGCTCTGCTTGGTCGCCTCCCACGTGGTCGCCCAGGTCGCGTAGCCCTCGTCGCAGTCGAAGCGCTCGCCCGAGGCAGCGTCCTCGGCGGCGCCTGTCGGAGGAGAGCCCGAGTCCGCCCAACAGATCAGTCCCTGGACCCCTCTTGGCGGCGGCCCAGAGAAGAGGGTGGCTCGAGGGGGGCGGCCTCCCGAGAGGGCGGAGGGACTTCTTGGCAGGCAGGGGCCGTCTTGAAGGGCCTGGCGGCTTCTGACAGAGCCTCTCAGCAGCCGCCAGGCCCTCCTGAGAAGGCCCCTCCGCCTTCTCGGGGGGCCGCACCCCCCCGCGCCACCCCCCCCTCTGGGGCGCTGCCGACCCTCCCGGGCTCCGTCCCGAGCTGAATGTCGAGGCGGATCCAGCAGTGGCGGCGAGAAGCCCCCGGGAGGCCCCGGGAGGGCGAGACCTGCTAGGGCGCGCCGCCGGGGGGGAGGAGGAGGAGGAGGAGGAGGAGGAGGAGGAGGAGGAGGAGGAGGAGGAGGAGGAGGAGGAGGAGGAGGAGGAGGAGGAGGAGGAGGGAGGAGGAGGAGGAGGAGGAGGAGGAGGAGGAGGAGGAGGAGGAGGAGGAGGAGGAGGAGGAGGAGGAGGAGGAGGAGGAGGAGGAGGAGGAGGAGGAGGAGGAGGAGGAGGAGGAGGAGGAAGAGGAGGAGGAGGAGCGCTGGTGGGAGCGCCCCCTCGAGACCTCGAGAATGTCCCAGAAGTGTCCAACAGATTGTGACATCCGCCGAGGTGTGCTTCTTTCAGTCCGTCAGTGTTGGCTCGCGCGCGCATGCCGTGCGCACCGCGAGGCAAGGGACAAGAGATCGCGATGCAGACTTGCAGCCCCAGGCGAGGGGGGTGAAGGCCGATGCTGCACACGAGGATTCAACGCGATGCCAGAACGCTCGAAAACCCCAGAAAGCTCAACCACTACCCGAGAACTCGCAGCCTCTTTCGCAGGGACAGATCTTCCGTCCCGGATCAAACTGTCATGCCCCGGGGGGCCCGACCAAGGGCCCTCCCCCGAGTGGCCGAGGTCGAACAGAACGCTGGGATTGAGCAAATCATATCGTCGGATATCGGTCTTGATCTGTCCCAGCCATCCTGTGGTGTTGGGTCCTCGTTTTGACAAGACAGCGCCCCGCGTCTCCTTCCTCTTATCCTCCTCCTCCCTCCTTTCCCCCTTGCTTCTGCTCTCCGCATCGGCCAACCAGGTCGGCACACTCAGCCAAGTCGGCCAAGACTGAACAAATCATACTGCCAGACATCTGGGGTGGAAGACCCTGGGTGCTCGATTTTTCCAAGGCGGGGCTCCCGGAAGCCCGAGTCTTTTCTTCCCAAGACTGGTTTTTCTTAATGTTTTTTTTTTTTCCTTCCCAGCTCTCCTGCGTTGGGCTCTCGCTCTTGATCTAGCATTAAGTTGTTCCCGTCTTACTTCAGGACCGCATCCCAGAAACAACTTCGAGCACCCCAAAAGAGTGTCGAAACAATGTCGAAACAGTGTCTCCCGGGGCCCGGTGCGCGAAAGCCCTTGAGCTTCGGTACTTTCTTGGGCGCTCGACATTCTTCCTGGTGGTCCAGGCCAAAGTCGGTTGGAGCATCCTTACCTTCTCCTCCCGCCTCCCGCCTCCCGCCGCCTCCCTCCCCCCTCTTGCCCGCCGCCTCCCTTCTCCTCCCGCCTCACTTCTCCTCCCTCCCCCCTGCTCCTCCCTTCCCCCTTCTTGCCTGCCTCCCGCCTTCTCCTCCCTTCTTGCCCGCCTCCCTTCTTGCCTGCCTCCCGCCTCCCTTCTTGCCTGCCGCGCTGCGGCCGCGGTCCCTTCTCCTCCCGCCTCCCTTCTCCCCTCCCCTCCCCCCTTCTTGCCTGCCGGCTTCCCTGCCGCCTGCCTGCCTGCTGCGCTGCCTCCTACAGTCGGGGGCTTGACCTAAGGAACCCAACATAAGGAACGAGGCCTCTTTTTTCCATGAGTTAAACTTCGATTTCCGATCGAAAACATAAGGAAAACCTGAGGCAAGCTGCGAAACACTTAAGGAACGCGGAGCCCCTCCCCAACGAAGAGGGTTCCTTCTTCAGGACCCCAACTGTACTTGCCTTCTGCCCAACCTCCTCGCCATCCCTGGGGTGTTTTCTATCGATCGGATTCTAAAACACCAGCGTCTCGCTTGGGACATCCTTACCTCTTTAATTCGCAGGCCCTCCGCGACCTCGTGATTCATAGCAGAATGAAATCGCCGGCCCTGCGCAAGTCGAGGCCGTGGGGATAACCATCTAAACGAGAGCCCTGGGCCCCGCCCTTTCTGGGAAAACTTCGAGCCCGAAAATTCATGTGCTTCGCCGGAGATCTGGGTTACCTTTACATTGGGGGGCGGCGGGGTGCCTTTCCTTTTGAGTTTTTGGGTGCCCGAGAGCCCCTGGCCTTCCGTCGGGGACCTATTGACCGGTGTCAATCCAAACCAGGGTCAGTCATGCTTGGAAGGATCCTGCTTGAAGGATCCTGCAAGAGCCTGCAGGATCCTCTGCCCAAGCCCGGGTCAGTGCACCCCTGGCCCTGTACGATCCTGCAAATTCTGAAGCTCTGGCTGACCCCCGTTTGCATTGACCACCATCTCTTGAGCTGCGATTCCGCCCGCCTCGGGCTTCCGCCGCCCTTCTGCCGAGGAAGAGATGCCAACCCCTTCGATCCTGGAGGGTGAGGCCCTCTCTGGCACGCCTCACGAGAGTCAGGTCGGGCACGTCCTCCTACGGGCGGATTTTGGAAGAACGTGATGGACCCACGAACCTGGAAAGGGATTGGGAGCTGCGAGGCATGGCACCATTTCTAAGAACCCCAGTTGCAGATGCATTTGGGCGATGCCATGGGGGCACGCCAGGGGGACGCGCAGCGGAACGTCCCAAGGGACGCGCCAGCGGACGTGCCAGGGGACGTGCCATGGGGACGCACCGCGGGACGTGCCAAGGGGACGCGCTACGGAATGTGCCAATGGACGTGCAACGGGACGTGCCAAGCAAGGGACGCGCCGCGCGACGTGCCAGGGGGACTCGCCACGGGACGCGCCACGGAACGTGCGAGGGAACGTGCCAAGCGACGCTCCAGGGGACGTGTCCGGGAAAGCGTCGTGCCACGGGACGTGGCACGGGACCGCGCTCCCAGACATGCCCATTTTTCTGCTCCAAGAAGCGCGGCTTGCCTCCCCCCTTCCCCCCCAGAGACCGCGAAGGAGGCCACTTTTCGCGGGAGCTGGGAGATATCTAAAAGATGTCCAAGAGCTATCTAAGGGGTATCTAAAAAGTATATACAGAGGTATCTACATAGGTATCTAAGAAGTATGCACACAGGTCTATAAGAGGTATCTAAAGGGTATCAACCGAAGTATTCTTTAAACTTTCTAAACGGTATCGCAGAGATATCTACAACACATGTTTCTAAGAGGTATCTAACAAGGTATGTATGCAAACATATAAACAACTACCAACATGTATTTGCAGAGGTATCCCTCCTGGGTAAGCCCGCTTGTCTGCTCGGAGAACGATTTCCCTGGGCTGCGCTCCTTCGTCAACCACGCTGCGTCCGCGCTCCCAGGGCCGCGCTCCCTCGTGAATGCTGCAATGTCCGCGCTCCCAAGGCCACGATCACTTGTAAATTTCGCTGGGTTCGCGGCTCCAAGGCCAAGATCCCTCGTCAATTACGCTGCGTCTGCGCTCCCAGTGCCAGCATCCTTTTGTACATTACACGGCATCCGCGCTCCCAAGGCCACGATCCTTTGTAAATAACGGTCCGACCGCACTCCCAGAACCACAGCGCTGCAGAACAAGCGTCTCGCCCGAGACATCCCCAGAAATTCGGCACGCAGGGTGCGCTATTCTCGAGCGGGCAAGTAACACGCTAACCTTCCTTCTGCAAACCAAGCGCGGGGCTTGAAACATCCTCGACATTCCTGCGCGCGGGACGCGCCATCCTCGAGCGGGCACGCAACAAGTCAACTTTTCCTTTTTTTGGTGGTGCAAATTGAAAGTCTCCATACCTCTTCGTTTACCGTGGATTCTGCGCAGAACGCTCCGCACACATTCTTTGTTTACTAGGGGAAAGCGTGTGTCTGCAGACCTTGTTATTTGTCGGGGATCCGAGGTAAGGGGGCTCATTTTCCTCGAGTGGGCACGCGCGGAGCGCATTGCGTCCACGCCGAATTGAACTTTATTTTTTATCGAGCGGGCAATCGCGAGAACGTGCCAGGCGGTGCGCCAAAGGACGTGCCAAGGAACGCGTCACGGAACGTGCCGCGGGACGTGGCACGGGACAGCGCTCGCAAGCAATCCCATTCTTCTGCTCCAGAAAACGCGGCTTGCCCCCCACCCTCCCCCCCAGCCGCCGCGAAGGAAGCCACTTTTCGCGGGAGCTGGAAGGTATTTAAGAGGTATCTACGATGTATCTACATAGGTATATACAAAGGTATCTAAGAGATAGACAGAGCGGTATCTACGAAGTATCTGGCAAGTATCTAGCATGATCGACCCACGAACCCGGAACGGAATCTAGACATGTAAGGCATGGCAACGTTTCAAAGACACCTGATTCGGCGACGGGCAAATGCAATGATGAATCGATCGATCTTGATGTACAGTGCCGAGGGCTGTGCTGTGCTGCGCCGTGCTGAATTGCGATGTGCCATGCCGCGATTGTGCTCTATAGCGTTATGGATCGAGTCCTCCTTTGCATCCGAGTCCTGACCGAACTGATCCGGATCTTAAGCTCGAGCTGCCTGAGCACATAGTAGTTGCCCCAAAGCTGATTGACAGGGGGACATGCTAGGAGGACGCGCCGCGGAACGTCCCAAGGGACGCGCCAAGCGACGTACCAAAGGACGTGCCATGGGGACGCACCGCGGGACCTTCCCAAGGGACGCGATACGGAACGTGCCAATGGACGTGCCACGGGACGTGCCAAGGGACGCGCCGCGCGACGTACCAAGGGGTTTCGCCACGGGACGCGCCACGGAACGTGCCAAGATGCAATGCTGAATGCATCGATCTTGATGTACTGTGCCGAGGGCTGTGTTCTGCTACGCCGTGCTGAACTGCGATGT